ATAATCTTTCTCTAATATCTCTTAACAAAACAAAAAGACCAGACCAGATAAACCAAAAGGTTGACAAGTTTACAGCATATTTAAAAGACATTATATCATGAAAGTCATGGTTTTAGTACTACAATTAACTGGAATTTTAAAATCATGTTGAAAACATACATTTTCAAATGAGAAAGTAAGTAGAAAGAGGAGATGGAGAAGATGAGCTATTTGACTTGATAGGTTCATTGATAATGTTTTCTTCAGCCAGTGGATGCAATTTAAAGGTTGGGTATCAGGAGAGAGTGCAATGACACTAAAATTTTCCCTGTTGGCCTGCTGGTTCCTTTCCAGGCTTGTGGCTCAATTGGAATTCTCCTGTCGACATTCAACTCTTTTCTCATGTGATGCCTGAAGAGTGATGCTTTAGGTTCAGGCAGCAAGGTGACTTTGAGATACACCCAGTGGGGTAGAAGTGGGGACTAAGAGAAAGCTCACAGGGATTTTGCTGTGGTGAACATTCTTATGAGGTCAGGCTAGAGGAATGCCTAACCTCCTCTAGGTGGGATTGAAGGGGTAGAGGCTGAACAATGTCACACGCCGTTTGAACACAGCATGGGTAGCTCCTTCCCTCTGCAACCACCAGTTATTTCACTTCCCCTAAAATACTAAAGATATATCTCCACTGAGGGTATACGAGCCTTGAAGTGCTCTTGTCCTTTCTTGTATGCTCAGCTACCTCTTCTCTCTTTCTTATGTGGAAAGGTTAAAAAACAAATGTTGAACCAGAGTAAATGCTGCCTCCTCTAGGAAGCCACTTCTAACCCCTCATTCACTCCAATAAGCCACTCCCAGAACACTTTGTATATCTAAGGGTAGCCCTGACTACCTAGTCAGAGAGACATTCCCGACATAGCAGAAAATTTATAATCATTTGGATGAATGATTGAATAAACAAACATGGTAATAATGAAATAAGCTGCTAAGACCTATCTCTGCATTTCAAAAACCTGGATGTAAAAAAGTGAAAATAGAGTGTTACTTTGAGGCTCACAATCTTTCTGATTCTTCTTTTGGGGAATATTACTCTTTGTTCTGAAGCAAAATACTTTTTATTTTTAAACCTAGAGTACAAGGTTAGGAAGATCTGGGAAAAAAATGGTGGAGGAGTAAACAGTTCCAAGCTCCCATCTCTCAACAGAAAAGTAAAAAAAAAAGCAAATACTGTCAAAATCAACTTTCAAAACTCTGTAAAGCAGTCAGAGGTTTACTACAACTAAGTGAACACAGAATCAAGAAAAACAAACTTGAAAATTCTCCTGCTAAAGGAAATCTCAGTCAAAACATTAGCTGAACACAAGTGAAAGTAACAGAAATTTCAGTGACAGCACACGACAAAGAATACAGTTTTTGCAAAAAAAATTGCTTGGAAAAGTTACTAAAAAATGGACTACAGCCTTCAACAATAAAAAAAATAGCAAACCATGAAGAAGAGAATAATCTGATTTCCAGAGCAACCACATTATAATATGCAAATGTCAAGTTTTCACACACAACAAAAATCACAAGACATACAAAGAAACAGGAAAGTATAGCCCATTCAAAGTGTTAAAATAAATGAACAGAAATTGTACCTGAGGAAACTCAAACACTGAGCTTACTAGAGTGAGGTTTTATTTTTTAAATTTTTAAATTTTTATTTGTTTATTTATTTTTGAGTTGGAGTCTCACTTTGTCGCCCAGACTGGAGTGCAGTGGCCGCTCCCGGCCACCGCAGCCTCGACCTGCTGGGCTCCAGCGATCCTTCCACCTCATCCTTCCGAGTAGCCGGAACTACAGGTGTGCGCTACCACGCCCGGTTAATTTTTGATTTATTGTAGAGATGAGGTCTCGCCTGCCCAGGCGGGTCTCAAACCCGCGGGCTCAGGCAATTCACTCACCTCAGCCTCCCAAAGGCGCGGGATTACAGGCTGAGCGCTCACACCGAGCCTGGCTTAGAGTGAGGTTTTAAAATAACTGTCTTGAATATGTTCAGAGTTAAGGGAAACCACAAAGCAGTTCTCAGTCAGCTTTATGACTAAAACCATACTAGATACTTTCTCTGACTACAATGAAGTAAAAGTAGGACTCAATAAAAGAAGGAAAACTGGAAAATTCACAAATAAGTGAAAACTAAGCAACATACACTTTTAAAAAACTGTCAAAAAATGAAATCACAACATATATTAGAATATGAGGGGAATTTCCCAAATTGGAATTTATTTATTAAAAATTGTCTATTTAGTCTGACATGCTGAAACTTCAGTCACCTTCAAAGTACTCTCAGTTTGATGTACCACACCTCTCGAGATGCTTTTTCCACTGCTCAAAACAATTTTTAAACTCATCCATTTTGATGCCTTTTAGTGTTTTCTGCTTCTGCTGTTATTTGTTTCACCTCTTCCACATCAGTTAAATGTTTCCAAACGTTTGGGGACTTTTTTCATTCGGGGAAGCAAAAAAAGTCACTTGGAGAAAGATCAGGTGAATAGGGAGAGTGGGACACCAGGGTCCTACCGTTTTTGGTCAAAAACTGCAGGTGTGTTGTCATAGTGAAGAACCAGTCACCTGTTTGCCACCAAAAAATTCACTAAAGCTGAAGGCAGCCTCTTACGACAATGCTAGCTGGCACGCTGATGCCAATGGGTTCCTAGAACACCTACCTAGCAGGGGAAGCCTTTACTACCAGGGACCTACCTGCCAAAAGATAAATCCAGTTTCTTTTTTTGTGGATGAGGGTTCCCTTGTATACTTAGAGATTATTCAAAACAAAACACAACATCCCACAACTAATGAGATGAAGGAAGCTCTGAGGGAACTTTATAGTTATAACACCTATATTAAAAATAAGACATATTTTTATTTTTTTTTTTTTTGAGTTGGTGTCTCACTCTGTCACCCAGACTGGAGTGTATGGCATGCTCCCAGCCACCGCACCCTCGACCTGCTGGGCTCCGGCGATTCTTCTGCCTCAGCCTTCCGAGTAGCTGGAACTACAGGCGTGTGCTACCATGCCCCGCTAATTTTTCTTTTTTTTTATTGTAGAGACGGGTTCTCGCCAAATTGCCCAGGCGGGTCTCGAACCCGCAGGCTCAGGCAATCCACTCACCTCGGCCTCCCAAAGCACTGGGATTACAGGCTGAGCCACTGAGCCCGACCATAAGACATATTTTTAAATCAATAACCTAACTTTCTACCTTGTTAGTACATTGTTGAGGATTTTTGAATTTATATTTGTAAGGGATTTTGGTCAGTAGTGATCATTTCTTTTGATGTCTTTATCTGGTTTGGTATCAGGATAATGCTGGTTTCACAGAGTCAGGGAGAAAATATTTGCAATTCATATATCTGATAAGGGTCTAAAATGCAAAATATATTTTAAAAATTCTATAATTCAACCACAGAAATGACAAGGTGTCATTTAAAGTATAAAGAACGAGAGGAACCCCCTATGTGAAGATCCAAGGGAAGAACATTCCAGGAAAAGGGGAGAGGAAGGGCAAAGGCAATGAGTTAGATGCTTACGTGGCCTGTGTGACTGGCGGGCTCTGAGTGAGGGCGAGGGTTACATGAAGTGAGGCTGGGCAGGAGAGGCAGGCAGGATATGTTGAACTTGGTGGGCATGGCCAAGAGTTATTCCCAGATCACTCAGTTGTTTCGAAAACTTTAGAAAACTTACCATAAAGCTGATCTCTTAGTCTTTACTACACTTGGGGGCCTATTAACAGAGGGGTCTGTATGCTTAAGCCAAGTTCTGCGGGTCATAGGAAGCAGCAAGTCTGGAGAAGCAGGTTGTTTATAACATGCAGAATGGGTTTTTGGGAGGAAGAGAATTGAAGGAACAAACCAAAGCAGGATGGGCTTGCAGCACAGCTGAGTCCTCCTGTGAGGGCCTAGAAAACATGTAATGATGGAAATCTGGCAAGAGGCTGATTCTGTGATCCAACAGGATAGAGATGTGGACTTTGATTAATTGACCATTACAAGGTACAGGGACCCGTGAAGACTAGAGCAATTAAGGACATTGACGATACTTATTTGTTTGCAGAACTATTTTCACCACAAGATTATGCAGTCATTGAGAACAGGGATGGCACCGAATGCAGGAATTATATCTCCTTCGTTTCTAACTCCAGTGTTTAGCACAGGACCTAGTAGATAATAGGTACCAAAGAGAAGTAGCGTAAAATGGATGAAGAGGGGCAGAGGCAGGTGGATAGGCAGATGGGTAGATGGACAGATGGATGGATGGGTGGACAGGTGGATGGATGGGTGGGCGGATGTGGTATGATGGATGAATGGTCTTTAAAAGCAAAGTGAATGCTATTACTTCACCATTATTATAATACATAGAGCCAGAGCCACATGTGAGTATAAAATCCTACCAGCTCTCTACAATAACTGAAATCTGAGCTCTGATTCAGACAGAGCCTAATACACTTATTTACAAGATTAAACTCAGCTGGAATCTAGCAATAGTCCTCAAACATGTAAGTATTCCATCGTTCCTGTGAATAGACAATCTCTACTTCTGTGAGCCTTGATGTCACAGAATTGTGCTTGTGGCAAAGAACAGACACACCTCTAGGGTCAGTGGCTCCCAGAAACTACTGAAAGCAGGAGTGAGGCCCCAAACAGCAATGTGCATACTTTGAAACCTGCCCCTTGACTATAATTTTATGGATAGTCACCTGATCTAGGCGTGGCCAATGACAGTCTCTCCCAGGAAATGGAAGAAGGCAATAACTGAGTTAAGTTAATAACAGAGCTCCAGAGAAAAAGACTATAGGGAAAATGTGGCTGCCAGGATCCCTAGAGATGCCCTGGTCTGCCCTTCTAGCAGCCTGGCTGGTCAACAACTTCTTGTATTCCACAAAGCAGCAAGCACAGGGCACAGAGATGACCTTCCATCAAGAGCTCTCAAATGGATTGCTGGAATGTCCACAGCTGAGTCCACAGCTGAGTCTGGGGGACCTACTTACCTGAGAGGAATCACATTTCCTCATCTCCTTCTCCTTTTTTGCCAGACGCTTCTTTTTTTTGTGAAGTGGTTTGGACTCCAAAATCATTTCTTCAAGCTCAAAGGTAGGGTCACAATTCAGCCTGCCTTTCTGCAAGGAAGACAGGTTGGCTCAGTCCTCTGACTCCTGTAGTATACTATAAACAGAACAGGCCTAATATGGAGACTAATGTTTGTTCTTACCAGAGTAGTCCAAGAATAAACTTGGGATTCCCACTCTGGGTTTGCAAAATTTATTGCCAGCATGGCTTTTCATATTCTTTGACTTGATATTTGGTTTATTTTTCGAAACTTCCAATTAGCCCTCAATGAGTAAAAAAGGAAACCACATTACAATTATTTTTCTCAAGTTTGAGCTTTTGGGTTATGCTTCCCAAAGTATGTTCTAATGATCATGCAGATCAGGACCACCTGAGTTGCATGTTCAGCTTCCCAGGTCTCCAACTGGACTTCCCATATCAGGGGTTCTGAAGGCAAGGCCCAAGAACTCACACTTTAATAAGTTCCCCCAGATGATTCAGAGACACAGGAAAGGTAGAGAAGTATAACATGGGGCTTTTCTTAAGCCAACATGGGCAGTGAGCTGCAGGGATGCAGGAAAGGGGAGGAGGAAGAATACAGGAGTAGGAGTAGGGGCACTGAGACCTGCATGCGGCACGTATCAACCACACGGCAAGCTGCCCAAGGGGACCCTGCAAAGTGGACAGTTAAGAATATGGCCTCTGCCGGGCTCAGTGGCTCAGCCTGTAATCCCACGCATTTGGGAGGCTGAGGTGAGTGAATTGCCTGAGCCCGCGGGTTCGAGACCCGCCTGGGCAGTGAGACCTCATCTCTACAATAAATCAAAAAATCAGCCGGGCATGGTGGCGAATGCCTGTAATTCCGGCTACTCGGAAGGCTGAGGTGGAAGGATCGCCGGAGCCCAGCAGGCCGAGGCTGCGGTGGCGGGAGTGGCCACTGCACTCCAGTCTGGGCTACGGAGTGAGACTCCAACTCAAAAAAAAAAAAAGAACGTGGCCTCTGCCGGGCTTCATGGCTCAGCCTGTAATCCCGCGCCTTTGGGAGGCTGAGGTGAGTGGATTGCCTGACCCGTGGGTTCGAGACCCGCCTGGGCAACTTGGCGAGACCTCATCTCTACAATAAATCAAAAAATCAGCTGGGCGTGGTAGCGCGCGCCTGTAATTCCGACTACTTGGAAGGCTGAGGCGGAAGGATCGCCGGAGCCCAGCAGGTCGAGGCTGCGGTGGCCGGGAGCGGCCACTGCACTCCAGTCTGGGCAACCGAGTGAGACTCCAACTCAAAAAAAAAAAAGAACGTGGCCTCACTCTCCTGCTGCTCCCCAAGGGGGTAGAGATTTTCATCCTACAATTCCACAACACCGCTTTCTCCCTCCTTGCAGTCTGCACTTAGCCCCTACTCCTTGGAGCACTCCTTGCAGTCTGCACATGAAGGCTCACACTCTCACAGGCCCCCAGCAAGGGCCGCACTTTGGCTTAAGAACAGAAGGCTCAGAGTTGGGTCCACAGGCCCCTCTGGAAGGCCGTGACGTTTCCCATAAACCTACAACTGAATGTGTCTCTCAGGTCCTGGGCAGAGAGGACCTAGAAGCCTCCCTTGGGCCCCATGGCTTCTGCTTCTGAACTCTGGCTTTGACCAGTGATCAGCAGGGGGCCACAGATACCCCTCGTTCAGGTACCCATCCAGGGGCAAGTATTTCTCTTTGGCTATTTGTCTTTACAAATACAGATCCCTTAGAAAGATGCAGCAAAAGAAGAGGGGGTAAATGGTAAAAATACATTCCTACCGCAACCAAACAGTTCTCAATGCTTTCACTCACAGACCTCCATGGTCACAAATTTCTACATCTTTGGAATCAGAGAAAAAAATTTTTTGAACCAGCAGATTCATGGAAATGACTATTTGGGTGACTAGGATTTCTTGCCAATAAAAGCATACAATAAAAAGTGGATAAGAGATGGAACTCGAGATGCAAAAATACCTGGATCAGAATCCCAGCTTGACTACTTGCTAACTTGTGAACTGTTGGGACCAACTTGCTCTGTGTGTGCCTCAGCCGCTTCTTCTGTAAAACAGGCATTTGGGCTCTCTTACGTGTGACCTAATGAGACAATGTGTGGATCTGGCACACAGAGTGATGAGTCCTGAATGAGAAGTATGTGGGTTTGCTAGGATTCACTCACGTTAGGAACAAAACCAGGAATGAGCCTCTTCTGCAAAACTGCATCCCAGTTTATATCATTCATATACGGGAAGTTCTGAATGTCAGACAACCGAGAAAATCGTTGGTCTGGATTAGGTTCAAGTAGCTGCCAATAAAACACAAAATTCATGCGTGTAAGGAAGGTCAAAATGTTACACAGATTCCCTCTAAAGGCTCTCAAACGTAGGACTGAAAGAAACAAGGCAAGGCAGTGTCCCCCTTCTCTACCCCCATAAACACATAATGCAGATGAGGCACGAGAAGAACCAGCGCTACACAGGGCTTTGTAGTGTAAGACAGTTTGCCCTACTGAGTCCCACATCTCTTTCATTCCTGACTCCTCTGCCTATGATCTATGGAAAAATTTGTTCTCTAAACCTTAGTTTACCCAGCTGTAAGAACAGGAATAATAAACTATTTCATAAGGTTGCAACCAGGATTAAAGGAGGCTAAGCTCATTTCGCAATACAATTTTAGCTGTTTTTACAACTAGTTAAAATGCATTGGGTGGCACAGATAAGGTGTAACTAAGGTTACTGTTATAGTTCTGGGTTTTTCAGACTGGAATAAGACTTTCCTCCCATAGCCACTCCTGAGCCAACATCCCATCCCTTGTATGGCTCCAGTGGGAACTGTCCAACTCACTAGAGCATGCTCCTGAGATGACAACAGGGCAACGTCAGGCATCATTTTGGGGCCAAGTGGGGCTGTCTTGGAGTCAGCAAAATTTGCTTATGGAAAATAAGCCCCCTATTCTATTTTTTTAAATAACATTGCTAACTACCATGTCCAAAACAGGGTACTTAACCCCAAAGAGACACAAATTTTGAATCTTCAGCCCTCACAGTTCCTTTCCTGTACCAGCCACAACCTATGCAATTTTCTCTTCTAAGAAAAAGCCAAATACATCCTCTTGGGTTCCTCATTTTTTCTCCACGTAGTCATTCAACATACACTAATGAGCTCCTGCTAGAATTTCTTTTAATCTTTTTGGTGAACATGGGCATCCTGAAAATCCAGTAAAAGCTATGGACCTAATTTCTTCAATACTTAACACATTCTACTACTTGCCAGGCTTTATTAGCTTCTGGAAATATGGTGCACAAGTCGGATGTGGTCCCTACCCTCACACAGCTTAAAGGAGAATGAGGAATAACCAAGGATCACACCAATCTGCAGTAACTTCAAACTGCAAAAAATGCTATGAAGGAAAGATAGCGTTATAGGTGCTGACACCAGGGAGATTCCCCAAGGAGGTGACACTGAGCTAAAAATGCCCTCAAAACTATGCAGAATGGAGGAGGTGACACTGAGCTAAGAGCATTTCTCTAACTATGCAGAAGAAGCAGTTGTTTTTGTTTGTTTTTGTCTGTTTGTTGTAATGTCCAATCCACTGAAACCAATACATATCCTATCGTGCATGATCAGAATGCAGTGCCTATATGGACACCTTGTGACTTGAATTCCATATCCGCCAAACAAACTTGTATCCTGTTCAGTAAGAGGAGTCCACTATGTTGCTGCAGAACTTTCAATTTGCTACAAATGTTTCTAAATTCTTTTCTCAATTTTTGTCTTATAATGGACCCATAGGAAACAATTCATGACTAGAACAGTCAGTGAATCATCCTGAGTAGCACTGATCTCAAGAAAGGGGCTGGAGGAGCTAGGGTTGAGGGCAGGGTACCAGAAGAGGCACTGACACATGCAGAGAGGCCTGCAGCGAGAGGGAGACTGACATGTGAGGGAGGAGGAGGAGGAGTAGGAGGAGGAGGAGGATGAGGAGGAAGAAGAAGAGGAGGAAGAAGAGGAAGAAAAAGAAGAAGGCAGTTACATGTCGACCAAAGGCAAGCAAAGTGCAAAATAAGGCCTGAGAAATCAATGGAACCTTTATACTATACGAATCATTTTAATCTTTATTCTAGGAACAATGGGAAGACACTGAAATGTCCCTTGAAAAAATCACTATGGGACAAAGTGGGTTTAGGTATAATCAAAAGGGGAGGGAAAGTTCAAAAACAAGGCTTGAGAGGTCATTAGAACCTCTGAACCATACAAATTATTTTAATCTTTATTCTAAGAACAATAGGAAGACACTGAATTGTGCTCTGGGGTAGAGTGGGGAACAGAATGGAATGGAAATGTGTACAGAGCCGAGCCAACTATAAGGAAAAACTTGATGGTACTTGGATAGGGAGATAGTGGTGAAGACAGAGAGAAGTGAAAGATGTGAAAGATATTTCAAATGTAAAATTCTAGAACCTGGGGTTGGATTGGGTATGAGGATAATGAATGAGTCCTGGTTTCCAGCATGCATAAGTAGATGGATGGATGAGCCAGACACAGAGAGAGGGAACGTCGGAAGAAATTCAGGAAATACAGAAATATTAAGAATCCCATTTGGGTCACAATGAATTTAAGATGACTTTGGGAAATCCAAGGGACTCGTGAGTTGACTCAACGATGCCTTGTATTTGAAAGCTGTTAGCTGCAAGCACTACTCTAGAAATGTGTATTATCCTGATTGCCCCCAATATTGTCTACTAACTTCTAGCCTTAAACCAGAGAGAAAGCCTGCTCTTACCACTTCCTTTTGATGTGCTGTCTTCTTTCTTACCTTTTTAAGGAGTGACACCATTTCCTGGGACCAGGCAGAGGGGTAAGTTACAATAGCTGTCTCAAACATGTGCCCAATTTCTTTGCTGGAAGTACTGGAGCGAATATGATATGGTCTCTTAAGGGAGAGAATAAGTAAGAGTCTTCATTTTACAGGGTAAAAAACAAACAAATAAAAAACCACAGCATTTTGTTTTGCAAATGTTTCCAAGCTAAACCTTCAACTAATACAATATCAGTGTCAAATTCTAACCCCATCTGGCTGACTGTTGGTAATTGCCAGACCTCCTACTTTCTTAAAAGAGATGCCAGAAACCTAGAGAGTTTGTTATAAAATACCATAATTTTACAAAGTTGGTAATTTCACTGAGCCAAACAAACATTTTAGCGGGTGAAGCAGCCTCTGGGACACTGATTTGAAACTATTTTACAAGATAACTTACATAAGTATTTACATGAAATGCCAGAGAAATGCTCAATAAATGAAGTTTAAACAGTTATTATGTAAGGGTTTATTACAAAGAGATCCCAGATTTATCATGTTCTCCTTTTCACTAGTTTGCAGCATAATGAGGAAGCTCAGGACAGAAAGTTGCACAGAAAACAGCAACACCAGCTCCAAATGTTGTCCTCAGTTCCATGGGTATGGAGGGAGGGGAATTTTATGATAAAGCAAAAGCTTTTTAAAAAATATTTTCTAGCTGGGCTTGGTGGCTCAGTCTGTAACCCCACGCCTTGGGAGGCTGAGATGAGTGGATTGCCTGAGCCCGCGGGTTCGAGACCCGCCTGGGCAACTTGGTGAGACCTCATCTCTACAATAAATCAAAAAATTAGCCGGGC